AAGGCGCCCGCCTTCCCCGGGGCCGGGCAGGCTCCTGGGAGCTGGCAGACTGCTCCTAGGGTACAGTGGAGGGCTGGCTGCCAGTAGCTTGCTGGCTCATGTTTTGGGGCCACTGGGTCGGGGCAGTGACTGCTGGCTCCGGGCCGGCAGGCTTGGAGCTGGCACAGGTACTGTGGCCAGAGTCTGCTCCTTTAAGGGCTCCAGTGCTGGGGCCCTGGTTTGGCCCACAGTGGCCACCAGGGGAACTGGGAAGGCTGGAGGCCAGCTAATTTGGACTAAGCGTCTACACAGCGCTTATTCCGAATTAGCTAATAGAATGAGGTTTACCAAACTCGAATTAAGCGCCCCGCTATTTCGAATTTAATTCGAAGTAGCCGTTTGCTTGTGTACATGCTATGGAAGTTAATTCAGAATAATGGCTGTTAGTCTGAATTAACTTTGCAGCGTAGACATACCCACACACAGTAGCAAACCTCCCACTGACTGCAAATTAGGGGTGTAAGTGACTAATCAACTAATCGGCTATCTGATAAGCAAAAGCTTATGGACTAGTTGCCCCCCCCCCTTGTTGCCTCTATCAGAAAGGCAGTGGGGGAGGAGGGGAGAAGACAAGAGGATGCTGGGGGGAGCTGTCTTAAAAGCTGATTTCCTCCCAACTACAGCGCCGAGGGAGGGGCAGGGGCAGGGGCAGAGCAGTGGTTTTCCACCTTTGAAATGTACAAGAATCCCTGCTTGAGATGAAGCGGGGGAGGTGGGGGGAAGGCTGGAATAGTTCAGCACCTCCCTAAGAATGGTGTTGCCCTCAGTGGTGGGGCTTCCTTAATTCCAGACATCAGAATCAGTTCTCTGGGACTGCTAGTATCTCACCCAATTAGAACATTCCTCAGGCTACTCTAATTTATACCAGAGGATGGGTCTATCTTAACTGGGGGAGTGTAAACCTGTCTTAAAATAGGTAGTGACAAAATCCAGGCCACTGAATGTTAAAAGTCAGGGCAATAAATAACTGGGAGTAGGGAAGAATTCAGTGCATATTTTCCTCCTTTCTTCCATCTCCTCTTTTGAAGAAGATCCATCAACTCGTGGCAAATATTTACATTTCCCACTGGCTCAGTGACAGTGACTTGCTTCATGTCCTTATGTGGGGTTTGAAGAGCTTGTTTGCATGAATTTACCAGAAGGCCATGTTTTCCTGCTGCTCTGCTGTGACTTCTGTATTGTGCAGGGACCTTAGGAGGAGGCACGTGAAAATGTACCTTCTGAGCACGTTTTCAGAATATACAGTCCCATTTCAGTCTTTTAATTTTGAGTCTCTTGGAATTTAAAATTACTCACTCTACAGCATGAACAATAAACCCATCAATGGCAGCCAGAAGAATATCTGATCAGAAAGGAAGGTGAAACAGGTGTATTTGGATTTTTGTCTCTATTTAACTTTGAGGAAGATGCATTTTGATTTTTTCATTTTTCCTGAAGGAGTTCTTTAATCACTGATGTTCCACTGTGAATTTATTGCTACTCCAGAGCCATACCAAAGGAACCTTAGAGAGGAAGCACAGCTACAATGCAAATTCAGCTTATTTATGGCTTTCTTGTAATGGCTCTTCATCTTTTTCCTTTAATGATAGCTTTTTCCTGGGTCCCTGTATCACGCTGGAGGAGGAAGCCTTTCTAAAAGTGGAAAGTCTCCTCCGAAAGTTGCCCCCTGAAAAGAAATACAAAAGTGGGTCAAAGCAACAGTTTGAAGCTGCCAAGGATAGAGTTATCACTACTGATTTCTGCATGAAAAGGATGGCTTCGCAGCTTGAGTCTGTCTTCTTCAGAAAGTAAAGGTGGATTGTGCGCTGAATATGGTAAGGGGTGAAGCTGACCAGGAAGGCAGAAGTTACAATGATTATCATCCAGATGGCCTTCTTACGAGTTGTCTGATTCTTCTTCAGTGAATTTTTCAGTAAGGTCCTTATGATCATGGCATAACAGATAGTTATGACACTAAAGGGAATAATAAAACCTACAAACAGCGCAATAAAATGTAGGACCAGCAGATCGTTCATCTGATTGCTCTTTGGTGGTTCAAAACACTTTGTCTTGTTACCCTCTTGGTAAGATCCACTCAGTAAAAATGGAGAACTTGTCAGGGTGACAAAAATCCAGATGCCCAGACATGCGAGTTTGGCCTTTTTTTCGGTTACCAAATTGAGATTCTGGACAGGGAAAACTATGGCCATGCAGCGAGAGAAACTCATGGCCGTCATGAATAAAATGCTACAATACAGGTTGACGTAGAATGCATAGGAGCTAATTCTGCATAAGAAGTCACCAAAGAACCAGTTGCCTCTGTGAACATAATACACAACTCGAAGAGGCAGTGTGCATACACAGAGGAGGTCTGACACTGCAAGATTCAGCATGTAGATCTGAAAGGCTGTCTTCTGCTGAAACGTTTTTATGAGGACACACAGTACAAAGCCATTTCCAACAAAGCCCAGAATTGTGATCATGCAGTACAACGTGGAATATACTTTATTTCGGAAGTCATCAATGGTCACATGGCACAGGGTGTTGTTGCCGCTCAATGATGTTGCATTTCCTGTATACTCCATGGGCTCTGCCTCAGAGGTATCACCTTGAAACTGGAGTCTGAAGATGCAAAATAAAACTGAGTTTTATAAAGTTTTAAAATATAACAATTATTAAGTGGAAAAGACCAAAAGGTGGGGTTTTTGTTCATTTTGGGGGGTGAGCTTAGGAGGGCTCAGACAGAGGTCATATTTCAAATATAAGAACACTAGAAGATTTACTCAGAGATGCTCAGGTTCTTAACTGATTTTTTTTTCTTCATTTAACTCATTGTTCTGGGGGGGGGGGAGAAGAGCTGGAGATGAGGGGTTCAGTATGCAGGCTGCCCCATGGACAGAGGACAACCCCAGCCCTCTCTCACTGCAGCAACTTGGGGCCAGGTGAGAAGCACGTATCCATGGCTGCTGTAGCTGCAGCAGGCACAGCCAGGGAAGGGGTGCATGACCCTGACTGGGGGACAGACAGACATACACACAGACAGACAAACTCTCTGAAATATATAGTAGATAGCTATCCCTTTCTTTACTCCTCCCCCATGCTGGCCCAATATGGTTATAGCTATCCCAGTCCCCATTTCTGACCTCTTGCTGCCCTCTGTGGTCATTCTGCAGTATAACTACCCTCTTACCAGACCTCTCCATTTCAACTGTATGAGAAACAATCAAATTCCAGGCACATTACATTGTCCTGGCATAACCAAACCCTTACTTTGCTTTAGGCTATGGCAAGAGGAAGCTGCATACCAAAGTTGGTGGTCCTAGCTCTTAGGGTGCGTCTAGACTGGCAAGATTGTGCGCAAAAGCAACAGCTTTTGCACAAAATCTTGCTGCCTGTCAACACTGGCCATGAGTATTTGCGCAAGAACACTGACTTTGTACTGTACAAAATCAGTGGTTCTTGCGCAAATACTTTGACGCTTCTGCTCAGGGATAAGCTCTCTTGTGCAAGTATTCTTGCGCAAGAGGGCCAGTGTAGACAGGCAAGTTAATTTCTTGCGCAAGAAAGCCCGATGGCTAAAATGGCCATCGGAGCTTTCTTGCGCAAGAGAGCGTCTACACTGGCACGGATGCTTTTGCGCAAAAGATGTCTTTTGCACAAATGCATCCATGCCAGTGTAGATGCTCTCTTGCACAAATACTTTTAACGGAAAAACTTTTCCGTTAAAAGTATTTGCGCGAAATCATGCCAGTCTAGATGCAGCCTTACAGTTTAGAAGGAGTTCCTGAACAAATGGATTCACAGACAGACGGAGAGACAGACATACATTTCTAAAATAGATGGTAAAATAAGAGCATAAGAAAGGCCATACTAGGACAGACCAAATGTCCATTCTTCTAGCCCAACATCCTGACTTCTGACAGTGGCTAATGCCAGGTGCCTTGGAGGGAATGGACAGAACAGGAAATCATCAAGTGATCCATCCCATCACCCATTCCCAACTTCTGACACTCAGAGGTTAGAGACACCATTTCTACCCCTCCTGGCTAACTGCCACTGAAAAGTGATCCATCCCGTCACCCATTCCCAACTTCTGACACTCAGAGGTTAGAGACACCATTTCTACCCCTCCTGGCTAACTGCCACTGAAAGACCTAACCTCTATGAATTTATCTGGTTATTTTTTAACCCTGTCAAAGGCATGGTCTTCACAGCATTCTCTGGCAAAACGTTTCACAGGCTGACTGTATGTTGTGTGAAGAAATACTTCCTTTTGTTTGTTTTAAACCCGCTGCCTATTCATTTCATTTGGTGACCTCTAGTTCTTATATTGTGGGAATAAGTAAATAACTTTTCCTTATTTACTTTCTCCACGCCAGTCATGATTTTATAGACCTCATCATATTCCCCCTTGGTCTCTTTTCCAAGCTGAAAAGTCCCAGTCTTATTAGTCTCCCTTCAGATGGCAGCCGTTCCAAACCCCTAATAATTTTTATTGCCCTTTTCTGAATTTTTTTTATGCCAAAATATCTTTTTTTTTTAGATAAGGTGAACACCTCTGTACGCAGTATTCAAGATATGGGCATACCATGGTTTTATATAGAGGCAATAGGATATTCTCTGTCTTATTCTCTATTCATTTTTCATGATTCCTAACATTCTGTTTGCTTTTCTGACTGCAGCTGCATGTTGAGTGGGGCTGTGTCTACACTGGCATGAATTTCCGGAAATGCTTAAAACATAACAGTTTTCCGTTATAAGTATTTCCAGAAAAAGAGCGTCTACATTGGCAGGCTGCTTTTCCGGAAAAGCATGTCTACATTGGCCACAGACGCTTTTCCGGAAAAAGGCCCTGATTGTCATTTTCACGATCGGGGCATTTTTCCGGAAAAGACTACTGGGCTGTCTACACTGGCCCTTTTCCGGAACATTTTTCCGGAAAAAGGACTTATGCCCGAGCGGGAGCAGCATAGTTTTTCCGGAAAAGCAGCTGATTTCTTACAGTAAATCGTCACTGCTTTTTTTGGAAATTCAAGGGGCCAGTGTAGACAGCTCTCAGCTTATTCCGGAAAAGCAGCTGCTTTTCCGGAATAAGTGGCCCAGTATAGACACAGCCTGGATGTTTTCAGAGGACTATCCAGAATGACTCCAAGATCTCTCTCTTGAATGATAATATCTAATTTAGTCCTAATCATTATTTTACGTATAGTTGGCATTCTGTTTTCCAATTTGCATTACTTTGCATTAATATTAATTTGCCATTTCGTTGCTGTGTCACCTAGTTTTGTGGGATTCCAGAACTATCCCCACAAAAGGAAGGATCAGTATTCTTATATCCAGATAATTTGTATTATAAATAAAGAGCAAGTTTTTAAAAATTCTTCAGCATGATCTGGACTCTTGTCTCATTGAAGTCAGCTGGAAGTTTGCGATTAACCCCCAGAGAGAAGAGTTAGCCTCTCCCAGGCTATGTCTATACAGCAGAGTTTTTCCGGGATACCAGCGGTATCCCCAAAAAAACCATGCCACATCCAGGGAAAGCGTCTGCTGTTCCGATTTTTTTTGGAAGAGCAGATGTGCTTTTTTGGCATCCCTGTAAACTTTGTTTTACGAGGAAGAAGGGATGTTCTGAAAAAGGAATTTTTTCCGACATTTGGCCCAGTGTAGATGGGCAAAACGTTGGAAAAGCCTCTTCCGAAAAAGGAAGCAGAAAAAGCTACGCAAGTCTGAGGTAGCCACTGAGACCTTCTGAAAGTCCCATGCTAATTTTTCATCACACATTTATTCTGAAAGAAAAGAAAAGAAAAGAAAAGAAAAGAAAAGAAAAGAAAAGAAAAGGAGACTGAAATAAAACAAAAATCCTCATTGATGCTACCACTGGTTCCAAACTGGCAGTAGCATTGATTGGAACTGTAATGGAGAAATGACTTTATTGGCTCCCAAATTCTAACTTTCATGTTAGTTAAATGGGGCAGAAGGGAATATTGGACAGCAGAATCATCACTAGTCAGCAAATATATAACTTTAAAACGTGTTCACAAGAGACACTTTTAGCTACTCATTCCTGTTTTTTATGTTCTCACTCTTTAAATGCCTGGCAAATTCTTGCTCCTTTCAGACAATTCCAGAGGACAGACCTCTGCAGGAGAAAGTCCATATGGCAATTTTTGAAGATTTAACCAGTGTACAAAGAAACTTTTTCTAGTAAACAAAATATTAAAAAAACCCTTTAAAAATAATCTTGAATATGACACTATGCCCCATATTCTTCATAGATATTGTTAGGATATGAATATGGTATAACTAAGATGTTTTAGGCAAGATGGGTCATGTGAAGTATCATTGAAAGTTTATGATTTACTGAATATGCTTATCCCATTTGTATGCATTTATATCTGTAAATTGGGAATACTGTCTATGAATCTATTACAACTGTTTATGCCTGGAGAATGCCCACAGGACTGAACGCAATCAGCCTAGATGGGCCATTAGGGAGAACTGCAGAACTCTTTATTTCCCACCTAGCTGAGAAATTTCCTGGGATGCTGCTAACAACCTTGACTCATGACTGCTTTGACACTGCAGGGTCATGTGGTACTGGACTTCAACTTGGTCTACTAGTATATTTCCACTAATGGGGGTGGAGATTAAACTGGGAAACAAAGGGATTCCTGCCATCTGTAAATCCTATTTAAGGCAGAGAAGTGAGTCAATGAGGTTTATTAGATCTTCATTGAATCCCTAACCAAGATGACTGCTAAAAACACCAAGGACTGATCTGAGGAAGAAAGGACTGAACCCAGGCTAAGAGGTGTCTGGCCTATGAATGGAATAAGCTGGAGTTTCAAGTTACAAGCAAGAGCAAGAAATTTTGCAATCTGCTTAAAACAACATTTAAGTGAGAAATTACTAATTGCAACCAGTTTCATTAGTATGTTAATCTTAGTTTGCATGTTTGTTTTATTTGCTCAGAAATCTGCTTTGATATTTTGTAGTTAATAAATTTGTTTTCTCTAAACCCAATTTGTGGAATTCATAACTGGGTGTGTATGGGGGAGGGAAAACTGTGCACATCTCCCTCCAGATTGAGGGAGGAGGCAAATTTCACAAGACAATCCAATTTTAAGTTTGCATCCCAGAGAGAGTATGCATTTCAATGTTGGGCGTTCCTTAGCTGAAAGCTTTCCCAAGCAATACTGAATTCAGCATCTGCATCTTTCTGCAGCTGGGTATAGCTGCCAAAATCCTTCTGCACAGGCCTCACTACACTTAGGGGTAATAACAATCTTAACTTTCCTTATTAATATACAGTTATAATTAAAAAAATCGTACTACATTAAAAGAACATGAAGGAGCACTTTACGTCAAGATTATACAAACAACTTGGTCTCTGAGGACATCACAAATCACTCGATCTCATAAAAGGATTGTATTTATCAACATAGTCATGCAGCTAATGATACTTTTGGAGTAGCAGGATATTTTTCATTTGCATAAAGAGAATAGTAACAATTTAAAACAATGATTAACAACATGGAGATCTTATTTTAAGTGCCATCATCTTTTCTTGCCTATGTGACTTGCTGTATGGGCAATACCAAGTCTCCAGTAGACAAAGGGTT